CAAAAACGCAGGAAAGTTAGCTCTTACACTTTTAAGCAAAAACTTTTATGGAGAAGCCATTCTAACCCTAACATCTCTTTCTAGCTCTGTTGGTTTAGAGTGTAAAGTGTCAAGCTATCCATCTGTGTGGCTTTTTGGCAAGTAATAATTGCAGGAGCGTTGTTAAGCTGATAATGTCTCCTTCTATCCATCCTCTACCAGCTTCTTTCTGCTTGAAACATCTGGGGGTGGGCTGTGATAATCTTTTTGGTTTCACTTCCTCACTGAAGCCCTTTGAGATTTACTCTTGATATGTAAGGGTACAGTTTGACACCTGACTCTCAGTGCAGTGCTGGCTTAAAAGCAGTTCCTGTCTCTTCCGTTATACCGACAAGCTGAAAAGAAATTAGGGAGTTGAGGATGTAGAATCTGACTTAGATTACTGTGTGGCCTGACAGCTAGTTGTGCTGGCTTACCATGGGATAAGATGAGGTCTGTACTGCTTATTGTGGCATTCCTACAAAGCTTTCCCAAAAGCTGCAGTCTTAACAAGCATTTTATTGGCAACTGTTTGTGCTTAAATAGCCTTTCTTGCCCCTGAAGTGCTCATACATTTGATTAACATGTGCAGTGAAGCAAATAAATTAGTTGATCGAAACCTAAGCTTGGAAAATGCAGATTAAGTCTCAAGTTGGGACTGCTCTAAATACTTGTAGGTGTGGAGGGTGGGAATGGGAGTAGGCGGGAACCGATTGAGCTCTCCTGAAAGGGAAAGGTCATAAATGTTGAGGAATACCAGTTTGTCCAGGTAGCCTAAGAGGGAGCATTGATCTTAATGCTGATCACTTGAGTTTGTGATGGGAAAGTATTGCTGGATTGTTTTCAGCAAGTGTGGAACGTAGTTTATTCCCCTCATGTTAACCACTCCCCTTAATATACCTACACTAAAAATGTATCAGTCGATACTTAAGTTTCACGTTAAAATAGTAGTTTTAATGGATAATTTATATAACTATTGAGTTGCTCCAAAGGCAAAAAGGACATCCTTTCCAGGATGCTAGCTAAGTAGCTGAGAAATGATGATGCTGTAGCATGAGGCTTTATGCTACTGCTGCAGTTCCTGTCTTAAAATGACATTAGAAGAATTGTTTTGAGCTGCTGCATCTGCACTGCAGCAAGGAAGGCTAGAGGTGAAAGGACAGAAAATCTGTTCTAGAAAACAGTCTGAAAAAATACAGATATAGATGACCAAAGGTATGTGAACTGAAACATAATCAATAGAAAATTGTTGAGCTATGCAGGGAATGGAACCTAAAAGATTTATTACATGAGTCTATGATGTGTATGGCAAAGTGTGTAAAAGATGTCCGTATGCTTATACAGAGGTGAGAAAATGGTATATTCCTGTTCTGCCTTCTAAACCAGTGAATAATCCTATCAGAAGGCTGAAGCTATTGTTCAACATTTTTAGGTTGCCTTAGTGTAAGGTATATTTCTGCTCTTGGGCATCTCTGCTTTTATATAGCAAAAGCATTTAGGGAGGTCTCATCAGGTTACTCATACAAGGTTTTGTATGTGCTGTCTTCTCTGAAGACTTACAGTGGAGCTTTGTTGTCGTGAATGCTAATACTTTAAGTACTTTTCTATCATCTAAGCCCTCTAATACATACAAAAGAGCAAACAAAGTCTAAGAGTTGGTTTAAACTATTAATGAATAATTAAAGAAAACTGTATTTAATACATATGCTTGTGGGTTTTTGTCTAAATGACATCCAGAAAACTTTATGTAGTGAAGGTATGTTCAAAATAGAAGTGTTTCCACTTAATCTGGAAGTAAGCTTTATTAATTGTATGCATTTTTTTTTTTTACTTCCCTAACTTATAATCTAAATCATGTTAATTACACTTTCTTTAACAGTAGACTACCTCTTGTGAAATAAAGAAATGGATGGGATGGATGAAACATCTAAAAGAATCCTAGAGCCATACCAGTACTTACTTCAACTACCAGGCAAGTTCCTTTGTACTGTGTTGGTTTTAAATACCAAAACTGGTTTTGTAGCAACTTTTGTCTCAGGAAGTATAAACAAAGAAGTTTATCCATTCTTGGTTTGTGGATTTAAGAGTAATTAAAAGTACCACTTCTCAATATTTGCTCTTTTCTTCCTCTTGTAGAGTCACCCTTTTTGGTGAGATTGGTGTAAGAGCTCTTGAGTCTGTTGCAGCGTAAGTAGCATTTCAGTTACTTGGCTCTCCATTCAGAGTAGCTGATTTGCTACTTCTCAAACTGATAAGGGCAAGAACTTGCAAACAAAGCCTTTGTGGGACTTTATTTCATTTTCTTGCCTTCCTTTTTCCCCACTCCCAATGCCTGGCACTACTTTATTGTGTGTATTAAGATACGAATGAAAGAACCAGAGCCAATGCACTTCAGGTTATAAGCTATACTCTGTTTTCACCTGATTATCTTTTTTATAAAAAGTTACATTAACTACTGACAGTTACATAAATATGAATGATTAGAAAGGTAAGTAATTTGAATCTGACTTGAAGCACAACAAAACATTGTCAGCCCTGAGTTTATCTGCTGGCTGTACTGGACTTAATGGGTTGTGTTGTTGTTTTTTTTTTAATAACCTGTGGTGGTTTTTGGGTGGGGTTTTGTTTTGGTTTTTGGGTTTTTTTCTTGGTTTAACTTCTCCCTGGTATGTGTAGAGCCAGGCATTCTTATGACCCATTTTGTCTGTCCGTGGATGGCTTCACTTACCAGAGGATCAACCAGTGCTTCTGTGGTATCAGGTCACTAGCAGCACCTTCAGATGAAGTTTTCAGTCTTTACTAGAACCTCCTTCAGCTACTAGGGAACTACTGTATGGATATGCTTTTCAGAAGTCTCTTTGACTAAATAGTCAGATTGCTTGCTGTGGCCTTTGCTTGTACAACTGAAGTGTAAAGACCACCATACAAGCTTTCAAAGTGACTAACTTTGTAAAAATAGTGGCGGAACTGCTTTGTTATTGGGACTCTTGCAGGATTGCCTTCTGTCCACGTGCATACTGATGGAGTTAAGGAAGACAGAAAATATGGTAAACATAAGAAATAATTATGACCAAAATTATATCTCACCAGGGTAGAAAACCTTCTGCCTAGACAAGTAGCATAATAAAGCACAGACACAGTACTAAATGGCTTTTGCATGTGTATCAGCAGGGTGGGTCCTGTGAGCCCTAATTCATTATACCTGTGTATAATGAATTTCATAATTAATCTCTACAAATACCCAGGATTGTCTTGTCTACATTAGTGATTTCATTTGACTTGGCAGTTAGCACTACTTGAGCTGAAAAATAAGGAAAGGAAAGAATTTGGCACTAACGTGCCTTTTTAATGCCAGACAGCTCGTTTCCAGTTTCCTCACAGTATATTCCATTTGAGTATGTTGCACTGGGTGGTGGTTTTTCTAGACAACTGCCTTGAGAATGAGTCTACAATATTCCAGAAAGCTTTCTAAGAGCTGGTCCTGATGAAATTTACTTTACTCCAACACAGTCTTTAAGTGTGCCTTTTTTGGTTAGATTATCTCGTACAACCAAGGTATATTGTAACGCTTTTGCATCTTTACTTGCTAATTATCTGTTAAGGTATTGTAAATACAAGCAAAAAAAGCTCAGCTTCCTAGTAGGAAATACACAACAGACAAAAGTGCCGGGAAAATGCTTGACTAATAGCTCTTCAGTTTAGATTTCACTTTAGATGATGCGTCTAGGGTATACAGTTAACCTTCCCACCTTGACTCCTGTGGCTATATTCCTGTACCTTATTGTGGGTGAGTTCCATCCTGATGGCTATGCTGATGGCTTATATAATGTTACACCTAATGACAGTGCAAGCATTTTATATCCTGTCCTGCTGAGGTATTATAAACCTGATTGTGCACTTTAACATGTCGGTCTCTTGTTAGTTTATCTTGTTTTGGAGAAGGTGAGAGAGAAGATACACTTCTCTCTATGCAGAAATGGTGGTGTGATTCAAAAAAGAAGATGTCTCTTAAACAAGGCAGATATAAGTAACAGGTGAAGCAGTGAGGGTTCATAATCATGTAGCTGGATGCTTACTGGTTTTGTAACTGGCTTTTCCCAAAGTCAGCTATGCCAAGTACACATCAGTAGGAGCCAATTACTTGTGTGAACCTTGAAATAAGTGTGAGCACCAATGCTTGGTGAGTGGAAGGAAAAAATGGGCACATGCTAGCTGTTCATAATGAGGGTGGAGCCCACATGAGATGCCTGAGCTAATCTAACAAACTTGCTGAAGGAGCCAGTTTCATTCTATCCTCTTTGTTTCTATCAGTATTCTCCTGCTTATCTTTTGCCAGTTCTCAGCTTGCTAACCAAAGGATCACGTAATATCAATCACCTAACTGTTAAACTTGCCTGGTTAATGTTCTCTTATCTTGTTAGTGAGTTGGCACAATGGTGGGGATAGGGAGCTGTTTCTGTGTTGGATCAACTTGAGCTCTGAGGGACTCTTGCAGATATCTTGGCTGAGTGTCAAATATGTACATGTATGGCCCTAAAATAGTCCAGTTGCTTATCCTTTAAGACTAGTTAAAAAATAAACTCTCCAAATGGCTTAGTAACCTGTGAGAACTTGAATGAACTTAGATACATATCTAACTCTGTTTACTTAAAAGGGGATTGTGATTGTGTTAACAGTATTAAGGGCGGTGGGAGGGGTGGGGGTGTGTGGAAGATGCCTGCTAATGTTGTCTGTAGTGTAAGAACATGAATTTTTATAACTGTTAAGGATTAATATACCTCAATACAAGAAGAGGTTGATTACTCTACTTTCCATTAACGAAACAGGACTTATGACTGATAACAGTTTGGGAGTGATACTTAAACTGAGCTTGTCTATTTTGTCTATTTCTTCAACAGCACTAGGATAGAGCAACTACTAGGCTTAACGGTTTTTACTATGTTGCTATTTTAACTGCTAGTATGGTAATTCATGCTTATTCCTTCACTAGCAGAATTTAGTGCTTGGGAGAACATATGTTCTGAAACATAACTTTACTTGTAAAACCTCACTGTAGTAGAACATTGCTGTACTAGTTTATAGTAGTATTGTGCTTAATCTAGTATTCTGTCCTTTAATGTAATGAAAAAAGGGACAGTAAGCAGGATTAAAGTTCACATTGCAATTTGTGGTTTGTCTCAAAAATGGCCTGATTCACCCAGATGATGAATCTTCTATTTCCAAGTGGCTGAATTAAGAGCAGTGGCTGTTTTTGCAGCACTAAGGAGTGTATGGATTTTCATTTGCAGTAAAACTGATGTGGTCAACAGCTTGGTATTGAAAGGGGGTAGATTCTGTTCCCGTTCATGACTGCATCTTTCCTTTCATGTGTGTTGCTCTGGTCTTGGCTGCAGTCTTTCCTGCTCTTGTTTAGCAAGCCAAACAAGGCTGGCTGTTGTTTTGCAGCTTTTTCTGCTGGGCTGCTGAACTTGACCAGCTTGGTGAAGTTGTTGAGCACCACAGGGTGCGACCCCTGCCTTTGACACAACTACACCTCAGGGGCCTCAACCTTGGCTAAGTTACTGAACGAGGCTGAAGCTCTTCAGGTTCTGAGCTGCAGGGATGCCTGGACTCCCATTGGGCCAGAAGACTTAATGCCCCTGCCCCTAGAAGGTGTGCAGTGGTGGAAAAATGTGTCACCAAGCAGAGGAGCGGTGGAAGGGATCAGCAGGCTGTACAGCATCAGAAATAACAAAAAGAGCAAGACCCTGCAGGTTCAAGAGCCTGAAACCTCCAAGTATATTGAAGGAGAGGCCTGAACTGTCTGTGCATATCAGGTTGGGAAATGGATACTCCCGCAGTGGTGAAAGCTGGGAGCTGATGGCTTCTGGCACCAGGAGATATTTCTGTTCCTCGAGCAGATGTGCGGTTGCCAAATAAGTTCAATACACTGGAAGAAGGCACATGACTGGAACTGCTCTGTGTACAACAAAGCATCAGACCAGCACCTGGTGACAGTAGTGGGGAGACTGACGCGTGTAGAGGACAGAGGCCTCTATTTGAGCTGCTGCCTTGGGGAAGCTACATCTGGGTAGCTCTAATCAGGGATGTTATGGAGGGACTGTCAAGGTATATTTTGCCCTCAGACTACTTAACCCTGCAGTTCTTCCACTTGAGCAATAATAGATGTAGCAAGGGAATGCCTGGAGCTTATCAAGTATGACTCGCTTTTAGAATGAAGGTCAAGAGCACAGGAAGCCAGATGGTTTTTCTCCATGATCTTCAACCCCCTTCCCCTCACCATCAAGATGAACAGACAGATCCTGCCTATCAACAGCTACTTAGTTGCACAGCTGATATTGATAGTAGAGATTAAAGTTTTATGACTGTGGGACTCACTTTGTAGATCAGTGTTGTGGTCTAACCCCAGTAAGCAACCAAGTACCATACAGCTGCCCACTCACCTGCCCCCTGCCAGTGGGATGTGGGAGAGAATTGGAGGGAAAAGAGAAGGGAACTTGTGGGTTGAGATAAGGCAGTTTAATAACTGAAAGCAGGTGAAATAAAGTGATTGTACTAATAATTATATACTAATACTGTTAATATGTAATGAAAATACTATTAATATGTAATAGTATGTAATAAAAATAAGGAAAAACGGAAGAAAAACGAAGTGATACAACTGCTGCTGGCTGACGCTCAGCCAGTTCTCAAGCAGTGATTCCCCTCCTGGCCAGCTCACCCCACTTATACACTGGGCCGGATGTTTGATGGCATGAAATGTCCCTCCTCCCAGCTTCTTGTGGAGAAGAAGCTGTGACACAGGTGCAGTTTGAGAAACTGAAAAAAGTCCTTGACTTGATAGAAACATTCCTTAGCAACAACTGAAAACATTAATATGTTATCAATATCCTTCTCAGCACAAATCCAAAGAATAGCTTCATACTAGGTTGTTGTGGTTTAACCTCAGCTATCAATAAAGTACCATGCGGC